CAACCCAGGTACGTGCCCTTGACCGGGAATCAAACCCATGACCTCCTTCTCTGGTCACCTAAAGGAGAAGTCAGTATAGCTATTTAGTTACAATTTTCTTCAGGCATTATCCTAAATAAGTGACTAGACTGAATTATCAGAGGCCTCTGTGTTAGCCAAATGGTCACTCTAAGTACTGACTGGACATGTAGCTTCTGAAAAGCAGGAAATCCAACCACTAAGCTAGCTTATGAAGATTTCTACTAATGCAGAAATTAATAGAAATAACAGATGCATCCTTATGAAGACTGTTCTAAAGTCACAATGTGTCTAAATGCTGGTTAAGGCTCCCATAACTGATGGAGATACAAAATAGTGTGTGCCATGGAGTCAATATTCTGAGGGAGCTGGAAACCACGAGGAGGGTTGAAGGGTCTGGGGCTGTTTAGTTTGGAGAACACAGACAGTGAGAGAGACAGAGAGTGAGAGAGAGAGAGAGAGAGAGAGGGAGAGAGAGAACATTTAATAGGCACACATCTGAAGGGCTGGCATGTGAAATGAGTTATATTTTGGGTTGACTGAGAAAAGTTGCTTAATGAGAAATGATAGGAATGCAGATTCTAATTCACTTATGACAACCATAGCTATTGAACAACAGGTCATGCTGTAGTGAAAACTAGGGCACCTCCTCTCCTTGGAAGGGTTTAATCCGAAATTGGCTGACTGCCCTTCGATGTGGTAAGAGTGAGTCTGGCAGCACTTGGGAAACTGGTCTGGAGGATCCTAGGATGTTGTTCCTGAAAGCCTTTCCCTCTTAAATGTGACTTCTTATATGCGTGAATATGTTTAAATAAGAAGGTTAGGTGTACAGGGAAGTGTGTGCGTTATAGAGGAGTCAGAACTTTATCTGGACTCTGAGCAAGACACTTAGCATTCCCGAGCTTCGCTGTCCTTACTACCTTCCAGGGCTGTCCTGAGAATGCACCCAATGACACATCCCTCACATCACCTATTTGCCGTATGATGCATATGTGGTTTTTTTCCTTCCATTTTCCACGATATGGTTTGTAATCAAACATCTGGGACCAATTAAGATTTTGAGAGTGCAATTAAACAAGCTAATTTTCCTAGGCTTCAAGTGATTTCAGTTGTTTTTCAACAATAAACTTGATTAAGTTTGATTAGATGCTTTGTGGCACAGCTTTTTTTTTTTTTAAAGGAAAAGACAAGTTTGGTGTGAGTAGAAATAGAAGGAATCAGAAGCCAGATGGCCAACATCATCTTTGAAATTTGCAACTGCAAGATCATCACTTGACTAAAGTCTTTCTTCCCAAGAGTTGTCAAAAAACCCCAAAACAAAAATAAAAATCAAAACACTGTGAACTAGATCTTTCAACATTAATAATGTATTTTATCTTCCTGAAAGGTATTCCAAATTTCAGTAAGAAAAATTCAGTAACAAGCACTTTATTTTCTTTAACACAGTAAAAGAAACTGGATCTAACAGAATGAGTCAATATAGGCTTTTATAGTTGTCCTTCCCACGCCAAAGATTCAACTAATTGGGAGTAAATGAATACCCCACAAATACTGGAAATCAATTTTTATTATTTACAAGTAATTTTTTAAAAATTTGTTTTTACTTTGTTAACAAAGAAAGTTGTCCTAATGGCGGATCAACTTGAATTCTCGAACTAGCCACAGATTACATGTACTGAACAGTTAACACCTAAACGTAGATTTGGTCTTAACAATTACAAATTCTTTATTACCTATTAACATCATACTCTTAAGCATTCTCATTACAGGCTGCCCTTAAGTAACAAATGGTAACTGATGTGCAATGGTTCTTTCACGTTTCCATTCTTATCTGTGACATGTACAATGACTTAACCAGCAGCCTCTGAGTAACTGCTATCTTGCATCCCCTCAATGCTATCTATTTTTTCTACCTCCAATTTCCAAGTTAAACGCTATCAGTATTCTGGGGACCACTCTCATACATTGTTCTATACACATACATACATAATTTAACAAAAACGGGATATTTATGTACTGTTTTTTATTGTAGCCAAGTTCAACAGCATCCAAAGCACTTTTAAGTACTTAATTCAGGTGGCTGTAAAGTAAAAAAAAAAATACAGTTTTCAGACCCTATATCACTTTTATATCCATTTATTTCAATCTCTTGAATGTTCATTACATTTTAAAATATTTTTGTGGATTCTGCTTTAAATAGTGCTTATCATAGTGAAGTGCACATTGTTTTAATATTAAGAATTACTCATGTATATCTCACCAATAATGTACATTTCACAGTGCCAAGTGAGAGAACCCTATTACTCTAAAGGATTCCTGGAAGTCTGAGTCACACGCATAAATGACAAGATCTGCAGGTTTGGGTGGTTGTGGAGACTTCTTGGCTTAAACAGGAATTAGACAAAAAAAGGAGTCATAGAGGTGACAGTTTAGGACTCATATGGTGGCACAATGAGGCCATAAAGGACCCAGCCTCTTAATTGTTCTGCTCTGCCATGCTAGGAATGCAGGCCTTGGTTCTCCTGTTTGTTGCTTTATGACTGAACTATGGCTGCTGCACCTCCATCCCTCCAGGAGGAAAGACAGGTGCAGGGCCAGGATGAGCTTGATCTGCAGAACATGTCTATTGAAAAGCTTTCCCAGAAGCCCCAGGAGCAACTTCAACTTCCATCTTATTGGCCAGAATTGTGTCAAATGGCTACTCTTAGATGTAGGTTCCATTAGGATGACTAGAGACTAGGCAGAAGACGACAAGCAGACTTCTGCTATGGGACACCCGAGCAAGCTGCCCTTATTCCACGACAAGAAATAAAGGGGACTTCCTCTGATTTCAGAAGAGCACTGAGAGGGTTTGGCTGGTAGGGCAGGTGTCCTGCCACAAAGAACCAGCAGAGGAGGAGGGGATAAGGGATCCTGCCGCAGAGCTGCTGAGAGCAACATGCCCTCGGTCACTAACACAGTGGTAGCTAACCCTCACTAACCGCCCTGAAACCCAGAGGAAAGGGACCAGCTCCCCAAAGGCCCCTATTTACCTGCTTGCATCCTCTAAGTGGAAGCCTGGAGCTGGGAAAACGCACATCTAACAAGCCTGAACTTACTGCAGCGACTCCCACACTGCAGAAAATGGGAGTAAGGCAGCTCTGGCAGTGGACTCGGCCTGTGCGCTCCCAGGTCTAAGCCCTGAAACGGGAATAACGCTGCCCACCCAGCAGGTGGTCCGGACACGCCGGTCGGCTTTGTGAAGACCGAGGGGAAAGAAATGGAAATTAGTCTTTATCCGAGAGATTGCCCCAGGCGAGAACTGCCCCAGGCGGCTCCCTCACACGGCCCCGGCCCCCGCGGCGTTCGGGGGGCGGCAGCCCGGGCTCGCGGCTCGGTC